CTTCGTACTTCGGAGCTAGCACCGATAATTCGGCTACAGCCCAGGAATAACGGGACGTAAGCAAGAGATAGAAGGGTAGACAGATAAAAGCAGAAAGGGTCACCTCTTCGATAAGACGACTCTCTTACAAGAAGAAGCCTTAATCGAAGTATTCCGAACGAGGTACGAGGTTTCTAAAAGATCCGTCGTGCTTCGGAGCTAGCACCGATAATTCGGCTACAGCCCAGGAAATTCCGCACAAGGCACGAGGCTTATTATATACAGATCGATAAATGATCTCAAATATTCAGTTATTAAATGTATCTTTAAAATTCACAATCCTTCGTACTTCGGAGCTAGCACCGATAATTCGGCTCAGCCCAGGAATAACGGGACGTATGCGGGAGATAGAAGTGTTAATAAGAATTAGGAAAAGAAAAGGAAGAATGTGAAAAGAGTAAGAAAAGAAGAAAGAAAGGTAGGAACAAAGAAAGGAAGAAAGAAAGAAAGAGAAAAATAGAAAAAGAAAAAAAGAGAGGAAAGAAAGAAGGGAAGGGCATACACTTGAACACGATTATTATTATATAATATTAAGTTGGTTAATAATACATATGTGATTGCACTCACGAAAATGAAAGAAACAATAATTTTATCGTGCCGCTGGCGAGATGGGTCGTAAAATAATCAAACAGTTTGATTGCAAAACATTGACTGACGCGACGAAGAGAGACAGAGACAGAGTATAGTAGTCGCTTACGAAAATCGATGCACACAGATTGAAATAAATTAACCGAAGAGACACTTGAGTTACTTACAGAATTCGGCAAAATCGGAGAACAGAACTACCCGACACAGCGCAGGTGACGGCAGGTGGATATGGAAAGGCTGGTTACAGCAGGATGATCGAGAGTGCCTCAAAGATTGGTCGCTTGTTCGCTCGAGATGTATGTTCAGACCCGTCACTAGCGGCGCAAAAATATACGTATGCTAATGCGGAGATGTTAAACGTACTAACGTGGAGATGTTACGCGTACCTGACCCGGAAATGCAATGAGCTTCCCGTGTTACGGGGCGCTCTTATATGCGTAGGCGGCCGCGCGAAGTGGGGATGGTCCCGGGAGTGGGGACGGCGCTCGATCATTTGCAAGATCGTCTTGATCTTGCAAAAATGAAGTTGATTATAATTTTGAAATGTCAAGAGGCCTTCTCAAAAACATGTTCTCTAGAACATTAGCAATGCATTGCTATTAAAATGTAAGAATAGGGAAGACCGGGGACAAAAGTATCATTTTGAATTTAAAGTCTTACTTGACGAATTAGTCGTCAGTATTTTTTGCTTCTGCACGTTATTGCATGTGCACGTTTCGTGTGGACCGATAAGGGTCCATACAGGCTTCACAGAATTTTTATAACAACTAGTACATAACAGGCGCGCGCTTCGCGCGCGCTGCGTTATTCGTGTGCAAAATTAATCATGTAGCTTAATTCAGAGAAATCGTATTCATCGACTATGAAACTTTTTCAAAAAATGTCCTTAATCAACTTGCGGAAATCGAATTCGTTGAAAAAGTTCTCTTTTTCAAAATATATAGTTCCAGCTTTAAGTTGTTCTTAATTGTTCAGTATTTTCATACACAATTAACTTCGTAGAAAAGCAACAACAATACTGTGTGCCGTTTGCGCCTCCTTCGGGTCGATATGTGGTTGTTTCCTTAGGTATCTCCGCAATAATTTTATACGGGTTTTTGAATTTTCGATCAGCTGTTTGTCGCTGGCAATTTCCCTGATCTCCTTGATCAATCGTTCTTCTTCGCGGAAAAGCGACAACAATACACTTCGAGATATGCGAGTCATCGATGTCATGCACTTCTTTAGATAAAGCAGACAGCTCACGAAGTAAGCACAGCGAGACAACCAATCAGCATCGCGGAAAAGCGGCAACAAAACTTCGAGAGATGCGAGTATCGATGTCATGCCTTTTTTTAGATAGGATTTAAATAATGGGTTAAGTGTTCTTTTTTTCATTAAAAAAACGTTTATTTTAATGTTTGAAGTAATATTTTTTAATATTTTAGAAAAATATTTGGTCTGATCAATGGTGAGATATGGGGTTAAGCTAGAAAAAGAGAAAATTTATTCGCTGTTATATGCGGATGATGACATGTTGTTGGCGGAGGAGAGGGATGGGATGAGAATCATGTTAGTAAGGTTGAAACTTTAGAAAAAATATTTGGTCTGATTAATGGTGAGGTACGGAATCAAGGTAGAAGGAGAGAAAATCTATTCGCTGTTATGTGCAGATGACATGGTGTTGGCGGAGGAGGAGGATGGAATGAGAATCATGTTAGTAAGGTTGAAACTTTAGAAAAAATATTTGGTCTGAATGATGGCGAGGTATTAGGTCAAACTAGAAGGAGAGAAAAAGATGTATTACCCGGACTTTAAAAAGGTTTGAAATTTGCTCTTTACGACTTTTAATATTATAGTTTTTGTAAAAGTAAAAACTAACATTGTTTATTTTTAATAATATACATATACATAATTATACATATTATCATTTGGAAATTTAAAAAATAAAAAATTATACATATATTTCTTTATATACATAGTTTTTAACTTGTTTATTATCTCGTTGACTGCCAAGATAAACTTTTAATCCTTGCCAAGAACGTACGGGTCCGGCATTGTTCGAATCTTTCTTTCATCGATGCAATTCGAGCCTTGGCAGCGACAGCCGTCATTTTCGATTGCCCGAGCTTCTTGAAATTGGTGATGGTATTGTTCACGGATTTCATGAATGAGCGCTGATTGAGCATCAATTCATTGAAGGTAGACATTTTTTCGGCTAATTATCACACGTTCACGGATACTTTCGTTCACTGCTTTGGAAGAGTCACTGGATGCTGTTGGTCCTGACTGTGTAATTAATCCTCAATCCCGATCCGGCTCGAAGGACCAGAATGTATTGGAGAATTCGCTTGATGGGAGAGAATCGGGAACTGAGGGGACACTCTTGATAATTAATGACACTGGTTATGATTCACAGCACTTTATTGTATGTATGCACTCATGTGCATGCCGCACGACGCGTAACCGAAACGAAAAAAGTCAATTGCAAGAAAATATGCGACGCGAAACGGAGCACGTAACAGGTCGGTTTGGAGCGCCTCCGAAAGCAGGTGCTCCGACACGATGGAGCGAAAGCAAAAAAAATGAGAATCGTTGCCAGAAGCAAGGTACCGGTCGTGATAGTTATTTCGGCAACCGATAGATAACGACTAGACTGGGCGTGAAAAATAGCCTCGAACGGCCGAGAATCGGTAAGCGCGAGAACCGAATTCGCGATTGTGCGTCGATTCTCGACGATTCGCGACGCGTGGATGCCGCGTGATTTGCTCGTGACCGGCTTGTTGTTTCTTTCGGAGACTCTCCAAATCGACCGAAAGCTCGACACGAAATAATGAATTTGAACACGTGAACACTGAACAAAGGTTGAAACTTTAGAAAAAATATTTGGTCTGAATGATGGTGAGATATTAGGTCAAACTAGAAGGAGAGAAAATTTATTTGCTGTTATGTGCGAATAACATGGTGTTGGCGGAGGAGGAGGATGGGATGAGAATCATGTTAATAGGGTTGAAACTTTAGAAAAAATATTTGGTCTGATTGATGGTGAGGTATGGGGTCAAGCTAGAAGGAGAAAAAATTTATTCGCTGTTATATGCGGATGACATGGTGTTGGCGGAGAAGGAGGATGGGGTGAGAATCATGTTAGTCAGGTTGAAACTTTAGAAAAAATATTTGGTCTGATCGATGGTGAGGTATGGGATCAAGCTAGAAGAAGAGAAAATTTATTCGCTGTTATATGCGGATGACATGTTGTTGGCGGAGGAGAGGGATGGGATGAGAAAAAAAAGATATTAAAAGATATTAAAAGTCAAATAAACAGGAATGTATGTGTATCTTATTTTTGTAATGTTACAGTATTGAATTACTAAAATATAAAAATAAAAAACTTGATGCATGGATGTACATCTGTTGCTCGATACTATCGCAATTAAGATAATACAAAGATCACAAGCCATGATTGTACATTGACATATTAAACTATTTAACTCTTCGGGATAGAATTATTGATTTTGTCTGATATTAAGAGTCAGATCAACAGGAATGTGCGTATATCTTACTTATGATGTTACAGTAACTCAATATGTTTTTCCTCTTCCGCCTGTGTTGGAGTGACGTTGCCGCCACAATTTGGAACCGGGAGCTGGAACAGATCCGGTTCCAATCTCCTCGTTGCTGGCTGTTCCGCGTGCAAAACAGTCAGCACTAATCTTGTGACGATAATGTTGGTGATTGCAAGTTTTTCATAGGTCTTGACAGGAATCATTGGCGTTTTGGTTGTCTCCTGATGCTTATTCGTAACGTCTGTCAAGTTTCCTCTCGCTATTTCGTATGTACTAGTATATTCTGCAAAGCGCACAAATGTGATCGATTAATTGTTAATAAATGTGCCACGTTTCTAATATTTAAGTACGTCAAAGATCATAAGAAACCAAAAGAACGAACCTCCGGACACTATGAAAAAATGAAACAGTTCAAATCTGCATAATCAAATTCTTTGTTAAATTTTCAATTTGTACTGTGTTTTTCAGTATTTTCAAATATTCCTTTTGGTTTCTTCGAGTGTTGTCATGTTTTCGGGTGTCTTTTTAACATATTTCCCGTCTACGCGGGGTCTATTTTTCGCTGCAATCTGCTGATTTGATATCTCACCAGATGTATGGTATTTTATTGATTTATTTTTCCTTTTTTCTTCGGACTTCTTTTTAATCATGCGTTTACTTAAATTTTCCCTGTCTGTCTCGCCCGAAATATGCGAGTCATTGATGTCATGCACTTTTTTAGATAAATATTTGGTCTGATCGATGGTGAGGTATGGGGTTAAGCTAGAAGAAGAGAAAATTTATTTGCTGTTATATGCGGATGACATGTTGTTGGCGGAGGAGAGGGATGGGATAAGAATCATGTTAGTAAGGTTGAAACTTTAGAAAAAATATTTGGTCTGATTGATGGTGAGGTATGGGGTCGAGCTAGGAGAGAAAATTTATTCGCTGTTATATGCGGATGACATGGTGTTGGTGGAAGAGGAGGATAAGATGAGAATCATGTTAGTAAGTTTGAAATTTTAGAAAAAATATTTGGTCTGATTGATGGTGAGGTATGGAATTAAACTAGAAGGAGAGAAAATTTACTCGCTGTTATATGCGGATGACATGGTGTTGAGATCGGAAGAGCACACGTC